CGCAGCTCACCCTTACCCATCTTGGCACCCTCACCCCACTCTTACCCATCCTGGTACCCCCACCCCTACCTGTCCTGGCACCTACACCCCATCCCTACCTGCATGGCACCCCCATCCCTGCCCATCCTGGCACCTGCATCCCACCTTTACCCATCCTGACACCCCCACCCCTACCCGTCGTGGCACCCGCAGCTCACCCTTACCCATCCTGGCACCCCCCCACTCCTGCCTGTCCTGGCACCTACACCCCATCCCTGCCTGCATGGCACCCCCATCCCTACCCATCCTGGCACCTGCATCCCACCTTTACCCATCCTGACACCCCCACCCCTACCCATCGGGGCACCTGCAACCCACCCTTATCCATCCTGGCACGCCCACCCCTACCCGTCGTGGCACCCGCAGCTCACCCTTACCCATCCTGGCACCCTCACCCCACTCTTACCCATCCTGGTACCCCCACCCCTACCTGTCCTGGCACCTACACCCCATCCCTACCTGTCCTGCATCCCCACCCCACCCCTACCTGTCCTGACGCCTTCTCCCCACTCCTACCTGTCCGGGTACCCCCATTCCCACCCGGCCCCACCCTGGGCTTCGTCCTGTGGACGCAGGGACCAGTCATCAGGACTAGGATAGGGAAGGCCCAATCCACGTTCTCGTGGGTCCCTTCGAGCCATGGGGGCAGAGGTGTGGGAGGGGCAGCTCTGCCCACCCGGAGCTTGCACCAATGGCTGGAGCCCAGGATGAGAAACACAAAGCCAGCGTGTGGCTTAGGGGCGCTGGGGACCCTTGAAGGTTGCCGGGTCTGTGGGGGTGGAGCCTGGGGTTCAGGGTGGGGACTGTTGAAGCCAGCAGGGGTGGAGGAGGAAGAGATGGTGCTGGGAGTGTCTTCTCCTTCCCATCCTAGTCCCTCGTGTGGTGGAGATGGGGGAGATTGGCAGGCAACCTGTTCTTTGTGTTCCTTCTGTTTTTTCTTTTTTTAATTGTTGCCACAACAAAAGCAGAGAAAGAAATGCCAGGCAACATGAAATTTACCATGGTCGCTGTTCTTAAGTGTGTATTGCCGGTTGTGTTGACTGCGTGCGCCTTGCTTTGTTGTGAAGTTGATGTTAGTCTCCTCTGAGCTGGATGGGGTCATCTTGGTGTGTTACTTTTAGCTAGTGAGGTTGTTGGAAGCATAGACATGCTTTCATGCCTTAAGATTGACAACGTTGTTATCCAGACCAGAATGACTTGAACTTGAAAGGAGACAGAGCTGAAAAGCAGAACTGTCCTGGGCTAGCCTGGGCGTAGGGTTGTCGTAGCAGCATGTATTGATCATGTGAGTGGCACTTCTGGTTTGGTAAACCTTGGTGATCATCAGCATCACCTAGGGACTGGTTAAAACCGCGTAGGCCTGGCGCTTTGGCTCAAGCCTATAATCTCAGCACTTTGGGAGGCCAGGGTGAAGGAATTGCCTGAGCCCATGGGTTCAAGAACAGCCTGGGTACCTTGGCGAGACCTCATCTCTACAATAAATCAAAAATTAGCCAGGCGCGGTAGTGTACACCTGTGGTTCTGGCTACTTGGAAGGCTGAAGCGGAAGGATCGCCAGAGCCCAGCAGGTCGACGCCGAGGTGGCTGTGAGCATGCCACTGCACTCCAGCCTGGGTGACAGAGTGAGACTCCAGCTCAAAAAATAAATAGATAGATAGTTAAAATAAAACAGTGCCTAACTCAGCAGGGCCCTGAGCTGCTTCCCTGCCCCCATAATTTGCATTTCCATCAATTTCCAGATGCTGCCAGTCAGAGGCTACACTTCTAGAAGGGTGCTGCTTTTGGAATGCTCCCTAGTGGAGATGGCAGTTGATCATGTTCCTGTGTTTTAAAATCATGTCACACAGCTATCTCTAGGGTGCTGCGCTGGTCGAGGTGCAGAGGACTGCATGGCAATTGGCAGCCTGGCTGAAGGCACTATTGATGTGGGAGGGAGCATGTTATCGGGTGTGGGGATTGCTGTGTGGCAGGTGACACAGGGCTTGCAGAGAAGCGCGGGAGCACGCGGGGGAGGGGGGAGCTTTCCGCTGGGCCTTGAAGATGGCTGGACTCCACTGATTAGGAGGGAGGGCAGAGGGCAAGGCTCCTGAGCAGGGGTCTGTCCTGGCATGGGGGTGAGCCATGGATGGTTGGTGCTGCTGCCTGCAAGCAGGTGGCATCTGCTGGCACTGAGCAGAAGCTTCCGGGTGGGGCTGTGTCCCCTCTGTGGGAGACTTCCAACACATTGCCAGTGTGCCCCATGTGCTTGGACCCACACGCCACAAAATAAATGCGAAGGAGCTTAAAGTGCGATTCCAAATGGGTTGTGACATACTGGTACCCCAGGATCATCTGGGTGTAACTGACTCTGGACGCTGCTGGCTTTGAGTCAGATTGTAAAGGGTCTTGTTTGGCATTTGCTTTTAATCCTATAGAACACGATGGGGTGCCAAAGAGGTCTTTGGAGAGTGTTCTTGGACTTGTACTTCGAGGAAGGTCATCTTGGAGCACAGAATTTTAGAAGCTGTTGAAACTCAGGAAAGATGCTCCCTGCCTCACAGCAGAGAGGTCGCAAATGTAAATGATGCCATTAACTGCCCCTGTCGGGCCTTCAGTGATTTCTCATGCTCTGAACGTGCAGTCCCAGTGCCCCAGTGTTTTCTGCAAGACTGGGCAGACGGATGCCCACAGCAGCTCCAGCTTCCCCGCTGATCACCTTCAGTTGCACCGACCACTCTGCTGTTCTGCACCCACACTGAGCTTCAGTCCTGGGCATGGGTGCCTCCCACTTGACTGTTCCTAATCCTGCAGCCCAGCTTGCATGCTGCTGGAGGCAACCCTCTTCAGCGTGTAAACTAGTTCCTGCCTGCTTTGTAGTGAGAGTATTCTGCTTGCTTCCATCATTCGACTTTTAAGATGTGAGGGTATGATTGTCTCTGCCCTTTGCATCAGGGCTAGTGCTTGCTGAATGCTCACCAGGTGCCTATGTGATCTCATTTGACCTCGCCACTGGCTTGAGCAGTCGGCTGTTCTAGTCATCCTGCTAATGACGATGGTCACGCGCGTGTGGCTCACTTGAAGTCACTTGTCTAAATGTGAAGGAGGTGGATTCAAATGATCAAGCTTTGAGCTTCTCCCCTCAGTAGTCTGATCTCTGCTTGCTTCTCTACAATGGGGGGTGGGTGGGTCATCTGATGCCTGATGTCCTGGCTCACAGTAGGTACTCAGTACCATGGTGATGTTGAAGAAATGGAGAGAACTCTTGTGGCAGGCATAGGAGTGATAAAGGTGCAGCTTAGAGACCAGTGATCCATTGTTCTTCAGAGACAAAGTAGGCAGTGATGCTGCCCACCAAGAATAAAACGATGGGATGGGAAGGACAAGAAGAAAAAGGGGCTTGGGCATGTTTCGTTTCAGCCACACGTGGACAGTGGGAACACGCAGGAGGACGCTCTATGTGTGGAGAAGGCTAATCCAAGGACCTGGCCAGCGGCGGCCACAAGGCTCCACTTCATGGGGAACACTTGTGTGTGTGTGTGTGTCTTAATGGGAAAGAGAGAACCAGGAACTGGCATCTTTCATCTCCCAGTACTTTCCGCCTCCTGAGTCTACTTCTCATACATAATTCGCTTGAGAAAGATGAGGAAGATGTGTGATTGTCCTCATGTTAGACTCTCCACTAAGTTTAAAGGTCATGTTGTAGAAGTGGCCAAATGTGATTGCATCCATTGAGTATTGTTTTATGTTTGTTTCCTTTCAGGAAAGAAAATAAAAATGACTGGGCGAGCCAGAGCCAGAGCCAGAGGACGAGCCCGTGGTCAGGAGACGGTGCAACATGTGGGCCCTGCTGCTGTAAGTGCTTGCCATCTCCAGCTATGGGAATTGTCCTGGAACCTTGATCGGCCCAGGCTGCTGACAATAATTTTAAAACTGCCCTATGAAGGAGCTAGGAAGTGAGCAAGAGAGATCATGTCCTGTTTCCTCAAGATGTTAGAAGCTGATTCTTGACTTTATTTGGTGACTCTTAAAGAAAATGTGTGTGTGTGTGTGTGTGTGTGTGTGTGTGTGACTGGGCCTGGTGGCTCACATCTATAATCCCAGCACTTTGGGAAGCCAGGGTGGGAGGACTGCTTAAGGCTAGGAATTTGAGACCAGCCTGGGTAGCATA